TTCTACATCTTTTAAGTCTTACAACTGTGAAAGGTAGGTTATATAGTTTTATGGAAGAATGTTTATTTCTAACAAATCAGTATTTCAGTAGTGCCAATCTTTAAGATGGAGAAAAAAAGGAAAGATGTCTTCATGCACACTTCACTGGCTTTGGCGCACCCTAATTCATTAATGGAGGGAACAGGAGCGACACTGATGGTATAGCCTTAGTGCTTATTGAAATGAACAGATTCAGGTTTTTACTAAACAAACTGCCTCTCATATCACATTTTCTACACAGCACCTTCAACTGTCTGAAGTATAAAGAAAGCTTTTTAGTATAGAACAATTCTAGGCCAAAACTGCTATTTGGAGAGGGTTCTGATGCATGAAAACAAACCAGATGAGCCCTTTAATTTGAAGTTTGGATGTCACTTTCCTGATAGTTATCAACCAAACTATCTTATATCCCTGGAGCCCAGGGCTATGACTTTGGAAACCATTCTTTCATATTATTTGTATATTTTAAAAAATCTTTTATTTGTGTATTTATTTGGTACAGGGTCTTACTACACAGCTCAGACTTGCAGTGATCCTCCTATCTCAGCCTCCCCAGCACTGGAATTACAGGCCTCTGCCACCTCGCCCAGTTTGGCAGACAGCATGGCACACCCAGGGTTCTGGGACTAGCATGGCATGAGGTACCAGGAATCGAACCTAAGTCTTTGCACTTGCCAGGCAGGCGCTTAGACCGCTGAGCTATCTCCCCAGCCCTATTGTGTATAATATTTTAACAGAAATTACTTACATTTATATACCTGTAAGTATAAATTATCAGTACTTTCACATTTCATTATTCACATATTAATTCCGATTATCTACATGAGCTGATTAGCATAACCACATTATTATGTAGATGTTTACAAATGCTTAGTGGCACATAGGTTTTTTTTTTTTTTTTTCTTGATCTCTTTCCAGCTTAATGAAGCATCCGCAAGGTATCCCCAGCACTCGCTTGAAGAATGTTGTGCAAATCACACCGCCAAAGCCCAGGCTCAGACCTCAGGTGGGATCAGCCCTGCACAGTGAACTAATCACACCACAATCTCTCTGCTGTGGAGTTACAGTTGCAGCGTTCCTCCTCACAGCAAAATGCAAATGCTGAGTGATTCTCTGATTCTGATGCTCTCTTCGCAACTCCCCTGATGGAAATTGCTTTACCTTTGTTTATTTCAGAACAACAACTGAATGTTGCAACGCGGTGGCTGATGCCAGCAATCCAAAGCTTCATTAGTACAGAGGAAGCAACTCTCACTTTGTTAAACAAATAATTAGAGAGATTAAATGAAAACAAATACTGAGACAGTGTGCAGAAGCTCTGAAGTCAGGTAATTATTTTAATTACTCTAGTGACTTCCACCAACCTTCATTATCAACCACAGATCAAATTTAAATCATTTTATGAGAGAATATTCTAAGCAGTATGGAAAAGAACCATTGTCATCTGCCTGCTATACCTCACAAGAATTCCATCTTCTAGCTGTGTACCCTGAACCCTAGCGCCTTCGGAGGCTGAGGCAGGAAGATCATGAATTTGAGACTGGGCTATGAAGCAATTTAGCAGGACTCTGTCTCAAAATCAAAAAGGGTTGAGAATGTAGCTCAGTGTGAAGGCCCTGGGTTCAAAAAAAAAAAAAAAAAAAGAAAGAAAGAAAGAAAGAAAGAAAGAGAAAAAGAAAAAGAAATTTTCTTCGAGGTCTCATTTAAACTTCTTTTGATTCCACTACCTGAAAAACACTTGACACATTTTCAGTACCTGAAAAGCGTGATAAATTTTGAACTTTAGCATATATTTTACCCTTGTTTTTGTTTCATATAGACATACTTAATAGTTTCAATTACTTTGATTTTGTTGTTGGTGTTGTTATTGGTAGTGGTGGTGGTGGTACTGGGAACTGAACTCGAGACCTTGCGCTTGCCAGGCAGGTGCTTATGTTGCTGAGCTATTGTCTGGCCAAAAACCTTGCATCTTTATTAAGATTTGATCATGAGATTTGGATTTACATTTTTGAGTCCCTGCATGTAAAATATGGCAGGGCCAGCCATTTGTGATAAATGTCACAAGGAATCATGCCCCCTTATTGTATACTTTGTAGTTGGGGCAAATCAATTTATTTCTTCTTCTCCTCCACTAATGTCAAACTTTTAAGAGACCGAGTGCCCAAACAGTAATCCAAAGCCCACTTACTAACTGCAAAGGGCCAACACAACAATGAAACCTCAATACTGAAATTTTCATTTAGAGAAGCCTACTGACATACTTGGCTGGTGTGTGGACAGAGGTGGCTGTGTGTGTGGTAGCTCCCGGGTCATTCCTTTGCCACTACTGTCTTCTGCCAGCTTGAGAAGACACACCGAGAGGGATGCCCACAATTTAAAGTCATTTCTATCTTGTTTAGGTTTCATTTTCTATTTATGTGATAATACAATTTTTGGAGTTCCCCTGGGTAAGGACGTTCTTTTGAGGCAGTGTTACCTGTTTATTGACTGCTTCTCCGGAATGCCAGCTCTTTTGCAAAATATTTTACCTAACTTATCCCACTTTCTCGTCACAGGATTTCCTCCATTATTAGAAAGCAATGGAAAGAACTATTTGGCCTCCATTTTCTAGAGAGGAAAACAGAATTTGAGAGACTTACTGACTTCCCAAAGGTGCATGAGGGGGCTTGCCCATTAGCTCAGTTGTTTAAGTGCCTGCTTAAGCGAAGCTGTCAGGCTCAGAATTCTGTGGTTCGATCACCAGATCCTCATGCCTTCCCAGACCTGCCCTAGAAGCATCCTGAGCCACAAGTAGCAGGTTGCCTAGCTAATGGGCAAAAGCAGACCTCAGCCTGACAGGAGAACCATGAGTCCTCCTCCCCCCCCCCCAGCACACGAGGGGATAAGTAAACCTGGGTGTAACTACAGAGTAACAGGCAAAAAGATGGTGAATTCTATACCCTAGCTAGACTCTCAGATTCCACACCTGATTGTTAGATTGTTATTCGAAGTATTTTGGCTCTCAGTAGACATGGTTCTCGGAGAAGACACAGTAACTGTAGAGCAGGGTTAGGCAAGACTTCCCTGCTACTGTCAGTCACGTTTAGAAAGAGTACTTGGTAACCACTTGAGTTTCACTGCAGCTAACGCAGCTAACGTTCGCATCAGCCACGTTTAAAAGCTGGAATAGCATAAAAGAGACCTCACCAACGGGGGCGGGGCGGGGGGGGGAGGTTGGGGGGAGTTGGGGAGCTGGGGTGTGGTCTTCTGGAGAGTGAGGAAGGCCTCCCTCCCTACGGCGCTGGCTGGCACACCTGGACCGACTCTGCCAGGTCATTGTATTTAGGGGCAGTTAGGCTATTCCAGAATACAGGTGGGGGTCCAGTGGCGTCTGTTTCTGACTTTGGCATGCATGATCTGCAGAGCTAGAACTGTGAGTTAGGGGTGACAAAGAGACATCGGAAGAGAAGAGGAACCCTTGGGTGGGGAGGGGGACAGTTCAAGAGTTCACCTTCTGGTTTCACAATCTGAGATTGCAGTTAAGGGACGCCACAATCGTGAGAATGGGCAGGAAGCGGCAGGAGCAGGAGGCTGGAGGAGCATTGGCCCCAAGGCTGAGCCCTGTGCCTCGAGAGTTACCTGTGAATAGACTAGAAGACGGGCAGATAACCCAGGCAGATGGGCCCAGAGATTATTGGGGGGGGGGGGACTTTGCACGCAGCTCCCCAGACAGGCGGAGCATCAGCCCCTGCTCTGCTCTCTACATTTCTCGCCACCGCCTAGAACCCAGCTAGCAAGTCGCAGGATATGAAAGGTCCCTGTGCCTGACTAATCCAGATGGCACTGTGTTTATATCCAGCGAGGCCAGCCAAGCCCGGCCGAGCCTGAGGGAGCCACGGGTGTACTCCACTGGGCCACGGTCACTCGCCCGCAGACACCACTCTGAGGCCGAGTCACGCGTCCTCATCCAGAATAAACTGGTGCTCCCACTGTCCAGGCCTCCCAGAAGATTCAGTGGGGGAGGGGACGTGAGACGGAATCATTTGAGTGACAGCGAACCGCAAGGGGCCGCGGCTCCGAATCAGTGAAGGAAATAAGTTAAGCACGCTCAGCTGGAGTTTTAGGGACACCCACACACCCCGCGGTCAGGCAGCGAGCGGCGCCACTGCGGGATCCCCACCGCCCACCCCGCCTCCCGGACCCCGGTGTGCGCCGCGCCCCAGCCTCCCCAGCTCCCGCCGGTTTCCGCCCTGCGGTGAGGGCGGTTTCGTCGGCGCGTTTTGCACACCGACCCGCAGCGCAGCCGGGAGGAGGGGGTCCCCGGCGCCCGCCGCCTCTCCGCCCCACCCCGCCGCTCGCCCGAGTTTCCGCACTTGAGCGGGTTTTCCTGGTTGATCGCGGGAGACGGGCGCCGAGGGCGCGCGGAGATCCGAGGGCGCGCAGCCCCGCGGGACCCTCCTCCTCCCTCCCCGCGGCGGCAGCTGCTGTCTTTCCGCGGGGAGACCAGGGCGGGGGACGCAGGAGTCTGCGGCGCCCCCGCCCCCTCGCCTTTTCTTTCTTTCTTTCCCTGCTTTGGGATCTTGCTGCCGAGAGGTCTGGAGAGGAGCGAAAGACCGGAGCGCAGCTTTCCGCGGAGACGCGGGGCTCCTCCGGCCCGAGGAACGAGCGCCCCGCGCAGGGTCCCGAGAGCGCACCGAGGCCGCAGCGCGCGGGGACTCCGCCTTCCCCGCCTTGCCCGCGCTTGCTCAACTCCGGGCCGGCCGCGCGCGGCGGGACGCCTCCCTCGGGGTGAGGGCGCCCCAAGCCAGAGGCGAGCCCCGCGCCCCCCGACTCCCCCGGTGTCCTCGGCTCCCGGTGGCGCCCCCCGGCGCGATGGGTAGCGCGCTGGCCGCTGCCCCCTGAGGGCGGGCGCCACGGCCGTCCACGCTGAGCTCTGGGGCCCGACTCGAACTCGGGGCGCCTGGAGCCCCGCCGGCCGCACCATGAAGTCTGCGCTGCTCAGCCGCTTCTTCATCCTCCTGCCCTGGATCCTGATCGTCATCCTCATGCTGGACGTGGACACGCGCAGGCCGGCGCCCCCGCTCACCCCGCGGCCCTACTCCGTGCCCTACGCCGGGGGCCGCGGGGGCGCCCGCTCGCCGCCCCGCCGGGGTCTCCCGGGGCGCAGCGCAGAGCCGCGCAACGTATCCCGGCCCCCGCCGCCCGCGCCGCCGCTGCCCACCATCTATGCCATCACGCCCACCTACAGCCGCCCGGTGCAGAAGGCCGAGCTCACCCGCTTGGCCAACACGTTCCGCCAGGTGGCGCAGCTGCACTGGATCCTGGTGGAGGACGCGGCGGCGCGCAGCGAGCTGGTGAGCCGCCTGCTGGCGCGCGCGGGGCTGCCCAGCACGCACCTGCACGTGCCCACGCCGCGCCGCTACAAGCGCCCGGGGCTGCCGCGCGCCACCGAGCAGCGCAACGCGGGCCTGGCCTGGCTGCGCCAGCGGCACCGGCACAGCCGCGCGCACCCCGGCGTGCTCTTCTTCGCCGACGACGACAACACCTACAGTCTGGAGCTCTTCCAGGAGGTAGCGAGCGGGAGGGGACGGTCGGGGCGCCCTGGTCCGGGCCCGGGGTCTGTGCGCGCTCGGGTGCCGCGCTGGCCCTCGGCGCACTAGGGGCGCGCACGCGGCGGGGACCGGCGGGGCGGGGAAGTGGCGCCCGGGTTCGCAGAGTCCTCCTGTAAGCAAAGTTTCACACCGTCCCTATCGGAAGGTACTGTGAGCGACGCCGCCGGCTCTGGCAAGTGTGTCCCGAAGCTGTCCTCGCACGCCCGGAGGAAGGAGTTTTTCCGCCTCCACCGCGCGTCTCTTCCGAGGAGCCCTCAGCGGCCCGCGAAGGGGGGTCACTCTGCCCGGTGCTGCCCGGAAGCGGCTGGCAGGGCACTTCCAGGGCCTTTCCGAGTCCCTGCCAGAGCCCTGGAACTCAGAGCACCTGCCAGGCCCTGGCCAGAACAGGTGTGTGTGTGTTCAAGGCACAGTTGGCGGTGGGGTTGGCTGGGTGAAGGACACAGGTGCGTGATTTATCAGTTTCTCTTTTTCATTTTCATTTTTTGTCTTTTTGAGACAGGGCCTTGCTATACAGTTCTTGAGCTCATTTTATAGCCCTGGCTGGGCTCGAACTGGCACGGAATCTCCTTGGCCTCCAGAGTGCTGGGGTTGCAGGTGTGCACCACCACGGCCGGCCAGTTTCACCTCTGTTTGCAGGTGCAGCTTGCTGTCATCCTGTGGGACTCCTGCCTTCCACCACCTGGAATTCCTGGCCCTCCTGCCCTCGAGGGGCTTCCCTACCTTCCCCTTCCCTGGTAGATTGCACGGTGCGCCTTGCCTTTTTCTTCTCCTTCTCCTTCTTCTTCCTTTTTTTTTTTTTTTTTTTTTTTGCGGAACCGGGGATTGAACTCAGATCTTTGCGTTTGCCGGTCAAGCGCTTATCCTACTGAGCCATCTCCCCGGCCCCCCTTTTTCTTCTTAATCTTTTTTGCTTCCTTAACTTTGGGACAGAATTACCCTGTATGCTTGATGCTTAGTATTTGCGTGTGGAGCCCAGGTCCTTGCACTTGCCGTAGAAGCGCTTATTCTACTGAGCCATCTCCCCGGCACTCACCTTCATTTGTATTTTTCCTTTTCTTCATGAAGAGAGCAGTCTTTTCTCTGTCCATTCGCTGCCTGGGTCTGGATTTCATTTTTTTCTCTTTTCAAGAAATAAGTTAGTCTATAATACAGTTTTTTTAAAATCATAACTGCAATTAGAAATACTACCCAGTTTTGTGTGTGTTGTGTTTTCTAATTGTTTTAAAGTCAGGTATTGTTTGGAAGTTGGACTATTCCAGTAGAGACACCCAAATAGCACATTTCACTCTGCCATATATATATATATATATATATATATTATATATTATATATATATTATATATTATATATATATTATATATATACATATGTAATATACATATGTAATATATATATGTATTTAGTACAGGGTGTACAGGGTCTCACTACACAGATTGAACTCGTAATGATCCTCCTGTTTTCAGCCTCCCAAGCGCTGGAATTACAGGCACAAGCCACCACTCCCAGTCTCAATCGCCGTCTCAGCACACTCTGGGGGTGAGGCCGGCATGGCAGGCTGGGGATCGAACCCCTCCCTGTCCCTGAATATGCCTAAGCAGGTGCTTTAGTCTGCTGAGCTATCTGGCCGACCCAATGCCATAATTTCTAAACCAGTCTTTTTTTGTCTCTTCTCTAACTTGGAAGTTACCCCACCTGTAAAGAAGTGATGTGTGGTTGTGTAGATCATACACATCCTGTGAATTACCATGCAGGGAGGGCTTGTGAAGGGCAGATAACTCCATTGATTCCAGCTTTCAGCCTCTTGGCAGGTGGTGTGGAGTGGCCAAGCTGGCCTGTGCGGGTAGTGAATCGATTCAGAACAGTCTTTCTTTGACGCTTACCCTGAAAAGAAGGCTTGATTGTGCTTGCGGTGTTGAGAAGCAGGAGGAAATCCAGGTAGTTGTTTCCATTATCTGTGGGATGGGAGGAGGAAAAAGGAAAAGCAGAGGGTAGGAAGAAAAGAAATAGTTTTGGTCAAGAGGAAATTATGAGGGCCAACCAAATAGCTCAGCAGATTAAAGCACCTGCAGGCAGGCACAGGGGCCGGGGTCCAGGTCCTGCCATGCCAGCTCTATCCCTGGGGCACGCTGCAGTGGCAATGGAGACTGGCCGTGGTGGTGCTGTTGGGAGGCTGTAAACAGAATCACCATGAGTCCGATCTAGTAGTGACACCCTGAACACCCTGTAGCCCCTCCCCTAAAATATATAAAAAAGGAAATTATGAAGAAGAAATTATGCAGAATTTTTTCCTAAGACACAAGAATGTTGTACAGTGATGTAATGAAATAATCAGAAATCTATTTATTATGAAATGCCGACAATGCAAACGACATAATCGGTTTAATGTTTTCAGGCATAATATGCATGACACTTAGAATCTAAATCATCTACCTTCCAGATGTTATGACCCCAGGACATTAACTTTAAAGTAGTACCTCTCTGTATCATGACCCCCTTCCTTCCTCCCCAAAACTGTGGTGTTCGGGACAGATAGGGAAATGTGCTGTGCGTTTAGCTTTCTTCCTCACACCTGTATGCAGGTACCACTGACCTTAATTGGTGGAATGTATGCATCCTGTCGTGTGCATTTTCAAAAGGTGAAGTCTTGTGTTTCTTTAAATCTTTGGCTTCATCAATAGGATGGTCTAGCGGACATCCGCCATGGAGTTAGCAGCTGTCAGTGGATGCCTCTCCAAGTGCCCTTTTTCTTGGAGAAAAGAGAGGCCCGAATAAAGCTTTTATAGACTGCAGTCCCCAGGGGGTGGGGAAGGCTGCTGCTCAGGAGTCCTGTGGGGCTGAGGCATGAGGCTCAGCCCTGTCCAGTTTGCGCACACAGTTTAGGAAACAATGTCCCAAGTCAGGCTTCATTTTTTTATTCATAGTACTTCTGATTTCCATGGTAGACGTTAAAGTTGATAAAAGGGAGAAAATGAACCAGCTACAAATCAGCCCACCAAGTATTGGCTGCAAAAGAAGGAAAGTCAAGAAAGAAAGTTCTCCAGATGCAAGAGGCGAGGGGCAAGCTGCGTTGGCCTCCTTCTCCCTGGCACAGTGCTCCTGCTCTCCTATACAGCTGACTAATTGTCAGCCCCTCTTTTCAGCTGGGCCGTGCTCCCTGGAAGCAAATATTTGCAGTGAATAATCCTGTGTTAACCGCCAAATGCATTTGCAAATGAAGCCAGGTGTGAGCGTAAGCCACAGGCCCCTTCCCTGGGGAAGGAGGGAGTGGGCGTTTGGGTGGCTCTCAAGTACCTGGACAGCTACCCTGGTTCTTCCTGTGCGCTGTGATCACTGGTCATCCCACTGACCTGTGCAGCCTGTCAAGCTGGGCAGCCTATGTAGCACTCCAAAAAAGCTAGTTTACAAAGGATTGATGGTGCTTTACTAACGGCCACCACTGCAAATAAATGTGACTTTCGCGAGTCATATTTGGAATAAAGCCATTGATCAGACTGCTGTTCTTCCCTAGAAAACCTTCAGAGCTTTTCTAAGTTTAAAGTGGCGGCTTTTTCAGGTGAAATTGGTTTCGTCTTTGGAAATCAATGTAATCGAAAGGTCAAAAATTAGCACTTTCCAAGTAAGAAAAATACTTGAAGAAGTTAAACTTCAATGAGATAAGACTGGAAGGCAAGCCAAGTCAGATATTCAGGGTGTGTGTAGAGTCGGTTCATGAGTTTGAATCTTAAAGATGTTTTTGGACAGCAGTGAACAAAAGAGGCCCCTTGTGTGATTTTTTTTTTTTTTTTTTTTTTTTTTTTTTTTTTGTGGCCAGCTCAGCCTGCCCTGGGGGTGGGGCTAGCGTGACATGTGGTGCAGGATGGAACTGTGGTCCCTGCACTCTTGCCTAAGCTTACCTAAGCAAGCACTTTAGACTGCTGAGCTATCTCACTGGCCTGTGAATTTTTTGGTTGGTGCTGCTAGGCTGGTTGTGTGCTAGGCTGGTTGCGTACCAGGCAGATGAAGTTGAAGTTCACTTCTGTCTTGCTCCTTTTTCTGGGCATTGATATACTTCCCCTGTTACACCCAGTTTACAGGTGTATTAGTGTGGCCCTCCCCCCTTAGTAATTCTATATCCTCAAACATGAGATTTACCTCTGTCTGTCCTGATGGACAGCTATTTAGCTTAGGGTCATTTTCTTAACATAAAGGAATCTAGTTATAGTGTACCCCTAAAAGACTTCCTGATGTGTCCCCCTTCTGTTTCAGTGCTTCCCTTCTGAGAGCTGCAAAGACTGCTGCCACAGGCATGATAAAATGTGAGCCATTTGTGAATATGTGGATAGAAAACTATGGCCAGTGTCCTAAAGCTATAAATGTTAGATCTATAGATTTTCTTGACTATCTCTAAGTGTGTATCACTAGAATTATGTTTCATTTTGTTTTCTTGGGAGACCAGCTGTTCTGATGTGGATTTTGGTATTTTGATTGTCCAGAAATAGCAGTTGGAAAGATTTCTTTGGAATTGAACTCAGAACCAGGAATTGAACTCAGGACCTTGCACTTGCCAGGCAGGTGCTATGCCACTAAGCTATATCCCCGGCCCAGCAAATTGAGTTTAAAACACGTTCTGCACTCTATCCTGATTTTCTTTCTCTATTGTTTTTTTCTCAATCTACTTTTCCCTGAATACACTGCAAACAGACGTGAAGACATGTCCAGGTGATCATCGGGTGCAGTAGATGCTTTGTCTTCTCATCATTTAGGCTGGTGTTGGCCGCAGCTTGGAAACTAGTGGGGGCTTCATTTGCTTCTGTACTCCACTGGCCTCTAAATTACAAGCTGGTAAATTATGTCTTGTATGGACAATGACCAAACCTTAATTGCTTTTCAAGCATGCTGCAAAAGCAAACAGAAGACCCGAAGTCAACATTCTTATTTATTAACTATCCCAGGTGGTATTCAGGTAGTGTGATTTTTTT